GAGGGAAAAGTCCTTCTAGCTATTTCGCTCGGCTGAAGAAAGCCTTTGGAACAGGAGAAGGTCCAGATGTTAAACTCTGCTTAATCTTTACTTATCCATACATTTTGTATTCTCTTTTTTTAATCAATAAAAAGAATCCCAAAGTGAAGTAGCTGTTAAGTATTCTTTATTCAAGATGAATTCAAAAGATGACTACATAAATTCTAGGTAAGCAAGGAAGAAAAATTAAGTAATTCAGTTCATGGGTTTTGTCATTTTGAAAACATATTTAATGTGATAAAAGTCTAAGTCAATTTATTTTGATTGAGACAGAAATAATCTGAGGGAAAACTAATATTAAATTGTTCTCTTTCACATTGTTAGAATAGCTCAGGATGTATTAGATGCTAAAAGTAGGTAATTCAAGTAGACTACCCAATTTTCTGAATTCTTCCTTAGAACAGCATAAGTCTACTGCACAGCAATAGTAGAAATCAATTTTCACATGCTAGTCCCTGTATTATTCAGGATTATTGTGACATCTAAACTACTTCAGTTCCTTTTAACTTAAAACACAAAGCTGTTGAAACAAAATGGCAAATCCTGGAAAGACTGAAACCCCTTTCTCAAATTGGTAATTAACAAGATTCTCATGTACAGAATGCTCTATATGTATTTGATAGCTCTGAAAAGTTTGGAATTATATTACATCTGCAAAAATCAGACATTCAGATAATTTCCTTAAGATATCATATCAGTTAAGTGACTTTCCTGCTTCTGAGCAAAGTCAGTTTAAGAGAAAAATGCTGTATACAAAACAACTAAGTAAAAATATTGTCAGAATATGGGAATCTGAATACTGCCTTAATATACCTTGTTAATATACATGAAATCATATTTATGAGCTGTTATGCTGTTTTGCTTCAATAATATAAATTACATGCATGTAAATTTGATAGTCTCATACACGATACTGATATAATACTTCAGTTGTCCCACAGTTTCTTTGTCATGGATCCCAAATACATATCAATATATCACTATCACTTGAGCAGATTGTAAGTGGGCTTTTAAAGGATGTTTTCAACTTTGCCACTGGGCATTTGCATGGCTCCATCCCACACCAGCGGCACATTTATGAATAAGCTTGAACAAATCATACTTATGATAACCACCTACAAGCACTCATGTGGTTATGATGTTTTTGTAAGAATTTTTGCCATCTGGACCATCCCAAATATCCAGCAAATTAACTTGGAGTAGAGTTATCCGAAATCATATTAAGGATTGTTGCTATTAAATAAACAAAATAATCAAAGATCAATTCCTTAACTCCATTTGATGATGCAAAAAAGAAAAAGAAAAACAATCTCATTTGCCTTTTTAAGCTTGAAATTAATTGCAACATTAATATAAATTATCTCAGAAAAGCCCATGGATTTAAAGAACATCTTCTCTTCAAACGTTATTCTCTTTGTGTAATTGACTGTAACATCTTTGATCATCTTTCTTATTCAGAGACTCCCCCACAAAGATTATCCTTTGTTACCATCATCTGGAAATTCCTAAATGCTGCTTTTCATCCCAGTGGAATGTTGGAAAGAAAATATGTAAAGGGAGCTGGGAGTCCATTTTTCTGTCCATTCATATAACTCTCCCAAAACTGAACACAGCAGGATCAAATTTGGTGTGGAGAAAGAAAGTGTGTTTGGGGGGGGGGGAGTTTAAAAATAGGCTGGGGTAGGCTAGAGGCTGTGAAGAAAACAAAATCCTGAAAATTCCCAAATGTGTCCCTATGGGAGAGGTAGTGGGACAGCATCTCAGAACAGACTGCTCAGTTTATAGTCCTCTTCCCACCCAGTCGTGTGACCCAGAGCACACTGCTGGTAAAGATGCTGAATGTATTGAGGACTGTATTTTAAGAGCTAGCTGTAGTCTCAGGAATTTCTCCCATGTTTCAGGTGGCAGAATGCCCTGTTGTTGGAACAGGTTTAGTTATAAACACCTACTCTCTTGGAAAGACAGGATGTGGCATTATGTGGTTGCATCTTTTGTATCTTTGCCAGTTAAAACAATTTATGCCTCTGCATTAAAAAAAATGAATCGTTAGTATCATTTTTTGAAAATGTCTGTGGCTGCAATCACTGGAAGGTGATTTGAAGGATCATACTGCATTTCCCCATCCTGGCAGGATACAGTACTCTGACCTTAAAGGGGGAAAATCTGATCTCAGAACTCCCACCCAGTGTCTGAGGCTCATTGTCTCAGAATTTCCTGATATTTAAAAAAAAAAAAAGCCGTTCAGAAGGCATGTTGAGGGAGGGGCCACAGATCCTCCTGACCTGCTGATATAGCCCCGTGCAAATGTGGAAATTATGCCAGTAGCTAAGATAGATAAATAAATAAATAAACAAATCATCTTGCCTTACCAGCAGTGTCCAAGAGGGTATTAGTTCCAACTTGTCAGTCCTTCAGAAACAGGATTTTATGTATACTGTGAAAGTTGGATGATTCTGCCACTCTTCCTGGGACACATATTTGAACAGCATAGAACATGCATTAAAAAACTCCAGGTTAAATTAGCATGGATTACAGTAAATGCTTGTTTCATAATATTTGTTTCCTTTGTGATGCAAGGAAATGAACATACACACAAAAAAGATAAGGGCTTCAGGCCCCAGTCTTGAAATGCATGGAGTGCCCAAGAACAGGGCTTGGAAAAGACAAGAATCTTGCTTGTTCTTGTAAACTGCTTTAAGACTTGAATAAAATAACCTCTCTTTTTACAAGAGAATAGCACTCATATTTGATATTTAATAGTATTTGTTGATTTAAAACATGCATATACACATATTTTTTCCTGTTCTGTTTTCAGATTTTTAAATTCTTAACTAGCACTGACACTAGCATTTACTTTCTCTTTCCTTACACATACGGCTATAAAAGTGAATTTTATCCTATAATAAATTGTACCATTTTTCACAGATTAAGCATAAAAAATGAAATTATACTTAACACACCAACTGGCCATATGCCCCTTCTAAGTTTTTTTATGAATGTTATCATAACTTTATTTCAGCTCCTAATTACAACATTTTTGTAATTCTTAATATGAAACATCAATCCAGTTCATCAGATGATGGCATCCTGACTGGCTATAATTGGTTATACATACATTAATATATTTTGTGATGTATTTCTTTCAGACATCATTGTTCTCATCGCTTCAATAGCAGTTGTTTCTGCAAAAACTCAGGGTAACATTTTTGCAACATCAGCACTCAGAAGTCTTCGTTTCCTACAGATCCTTCGCATGGTACGAATGGACCGAAGAGGAGGAACTTGGAAATTGTTAGGTTCAGTGGTTTATGCACATAGTAAGGTAAGAGCTCATCCACATATTTCATTTTTGTGAATTTTAGGTAATTTGTATATTGAATTTCTGCTACGAAGAAAGAAAATTCCAAATTAAATTGAATAATCAAAATAGCTTACAATATTTTTGATGCGCTTTGACCTTCCATGAGTGTGCATGTGTGTTTTGTATATGTGTGTGTGTGTACATCTGTCTATCCATCCCTCCATCCCTCCTCCATCCATTCTAAGTTCAGGAGTCAAAGAATCATGGAACGAGTTATACATGTTGAAAATGTGTGGCCTTATGTGTGGACAGCAACCTGCATGTTGTAATAGAAATCCTCTTTTGAAAGTTGCAATAATTTTTTAAGAAAATCTGAGATTTGTCACAGAAATAAGTTCTGATCAAAGAAAAAATTCATAAAGCCCACCAGATACATCCAACCTCTGGCATAAATGAAGTAGTTTGAATTCTGAAGCCCTGAAACAGCATGATTAATTATACTTTTTATTTAAGGGATAATTGGTATACCCAAGGAACCTTTCACATTTAACTAAAAGAAACTCTATAAAATCTTGTATTCCAACAAATATATGAATTCAGATAAATTGTCAGAAATGTTCATTTTTTTATTCTTATCTTGCAGGAATTAATCACAGCTTGGTACATTGGATTTTTAGTACTTATTTTTTCATCTTTCCTTGTCTATCTGGTTGAAAAAGATGCAAATGCTCAATTTTCTACATATGCAGATGCTCTGTGGTGGGGCACAGTAAGTACAAAATCAATCGATCTGCATAATATAAACTAGCCTTCCCCAGTCTGGTGCCCTTTGGATTGAGACTGTAACTTGATAAATTTCCAAAAATGCCCATAGTTGGCTAGGAATTATAGGAGGTTGTTGTCTTAATATATCTGTTAAGGAAAGTAGATTTACACTTTGTAGTATTTAATATTCTTCAGAATCTTATTAAATGAATGGAACCATTATATTGTATCTTGGTAAAGGAGGAGTTAGTAGTTTTTTCAGCTGAGGGCTACCTACATTCCCTTGTGGGGAAATGGTTGGGGGCTATATACTAGCAGTGATTCTAGGCAAATTCAAAGAGAAAAGCGGCTATGATCTTTCTTTCTTTCTTTCTTTCTTTCTTTCTTTCTTTCTTTCTTTCTTTCTTTCTTTCTTTCTTTCTTTCTTTCTTTCT